TAGTCCTAGTTTTTTGTTTTTAGTTTTACAAGTTATATATACACATATATATACACACACACACATAGATACGTATACTGGATATAAGTCCTTTGTAGGACAGATGAATCGTAAATTTCCTCTTCTATTCTTTAGCTTTTCACTCTCTTAAATGATGGCTTTTGATGGAAAAAAAAAAAGCCCCACATGCACTAGGTTGTCTTCTGTGACAGTGGCTGTCAAAGTTTTTCCATGTTTCAGCTACTTCGACCAGGAACATATCCTCTGAGTTCCTTACCTCACTCACTTTCACTTATGAAAATTCCAATCCTAAGAGGTTGTCAAGGAGAGAGAATTTCCCCTTCCCCCACTTTTGACTGGACTACTAATAAAATTGACACATGACAGATTAATGAGAAAAACTAACAGATTTTAATTTGTGCACATAGAGGTCTCAGAACTGGGACATAAGAAGTAGCCAAACCAGGCAGTTTTTATACTTTTTAGACAAACTTGAGGAATTGACAGGACAAAGAAACTTAGGCTTTGAGTGCTTAATAAGTGAATCTAAACAGAATTTGGGCTTGGGGTAGTAAATTAAAGACAGAAGTTTTGTTTATACAGGCTTCTTGGTTCTGAATTCCCTGTCTCTGGTGATAAGGATGTTTTTCAACCTCTTGGTACAGGAGGGCACCTTTCAAATGGAAGATTTATTTCCTGCTTTCAGGGAGGTTGAGAGGATGGTCAAAGTGTCCTTGCATTTGCAATTTCTTAGGTAATTTTAATTCAAAATAATGAACTCCACTGAGGCCCGATTTTGGGGTGGGTGACTGCTCTGGGCCCCAGCAGTGGTACCACTCTAACCCTTGTTTTGGTCCAGGGCGGACTTCACCTACTACACAGCTTGCCCTTGTGCACTGAAGCCTCCTGGAAGCTTTCCCTTTGTGTTCTATTCCTGTCCTGTTCTGACCCTCTGCTCCACTGCTCAGTGTACTCAGCTTCTAATCTTAGTGACAAAATCCAGCCTCTCTGCTTTTGCCACTGACTTGGCAGTTCTAATCACACAACGCGCTCCTGCCCTCTGGTGCTTTTGTGCCATGGCCTCTCCTTGTCCAGGTCCTGGTCCTGGGATCCTGGCTTTCACTACGTGGCCAGCTTTGCCCGTGTCTCCTGGAAGGGAGGGATCAGACTATGGAAGCTGAAGTAAAAATTAGTACTACTGTTGATACTCAGAACGTATTGAGTTCCCTGGCTGGCTCAGCACTGTTTGATCTATGTGAGGACACGAGAAACTACCATCCTTATCTTGAGGTGCTTTGCAGTCTTCTTGGGAAGGTAAACCATCCAAGAGAAACAAATTAGAAAAGAACATAAGGATATAAATCATATTTTATTAAGGGCTAGTTTGTGTGATAAGGATGACAAGTTCTAGAAATTCAAGAAGTGAGAAGACCTGAGGGCCGGAGAAGTGGTGATGAGCTGGAACTTGAGCAGAAGGATGAGCACCCAGGCAGCCTGCGGAGCAGGAGCAGAGATGGGGCAGCAGGACAGAAAGCCTGACTGCCCTGGGCTGAGGGGATGGTAGAAAGACAGCGAATGAAGTGGGAAAGGTCAGGGGTGGAAAGGTCTTGAGACACACTTTGGGGAGTTTCGGACTTAATTCTGATGGGCAATAGGGAAACGTGGCTTTGTGAGGAGAGGAGAGACAAGAAGAAAGAATGACAAACTAAGAACTGGTGAAGGTGAGAAAGAGGGATGCAGAGATCAGAGTTTAAAACACGTGAAAGGAAAATTGGTGATTTTACTGGGCATTTGTTCTTTTTGCCACCCACCATCCATTTATTCTATTTCAGTGAAGAGATCCCTAATTCCCTCTGCGGAAGCCTCCCTTTCTTCCACAACTTTCCTGGAAAACAATTTGACAGTTTTATTTCAAAAACCTAGAAAAACGGTTATATTATTTGACATGTAATTCCACATGAGGAATTTTAACAAAGATTTATATACAAGATCTTTACCACAGTAATATTTCTAAAAGCATTAGGGAAATGCTAAGGAAGTATTGGCATATCCCCTTGATGGGAAATTATGCAGAAGTTAAAAAATGATAATGAAGAGTTTACTTTTTAATTTTGGGGGGGGGTTGAAATAAACTCATATTGTACAAAGTCAGAAGTTCAGAAAGGCATGAAGTGAAAAGTAGGCCACCCTCCCTGCTATGTCCCTCTGCCCCTGCCCCTCCCTACAAGGGATTATTTAAAACGTGTGTGTGTGTGTGTCTATTCCTTTTCCTCCTCTCCCAAACAGCAGTTTGTTTTCCATCTTGTTCGGTTTTTTTTTTTCCACTTAATATCTGGGTGATTGTTCCATATCAAAACGCACAGCCTCCTCACTTTTTTAATGCTTGAATATGATTTCATGGTATAGATATATCATGATTTATTAAGCTATTTCTTCACTGATGACATCGAGTTCAAATCTTTTGCTGGAATAACCACGCTGCTATAAATAACTACACATATTTCATTTTGCACATGTGAGGACATATTTGAAGGGTAAATTCTTCAGCATGGAATTGTTGGGTCAAAATATAGGAACATTTTAAATTTTGATGAAATGGCCAAATTTCTCTTCACAGAGATTTTCAATTTTTACCTGTGCCATCAAACTTTTTGTTGGAAAAAATGTATTTGAGACTTTAGAAAATACTAGTGAAATATTGTTAAGTTACAAAAGCAAGGCTCAAAATTTTATGTACAGTAAGAGCTTAATAATGGGAATGTATATTATTGAGAGAGAGAATGCCAAAGTATTAACAGTAGTTAAATGTATTGATCATTAAATTTCATTATTCTATAATTGTTGTGGTAGTCTTATTTAACTTCGTTAGTAAAATATACCAAACTTGTTATAGGCCCTTGGAGATAGTACACATATTACTTGTCTTTTTAGTGACAACACCCGTCCAGGTGATGAGTTTAATAAATGAGAAACGAATGAGGGGTCATTTCTGGCAGTGTGGACAACGATTTGCAATTTGCAATCTTACCACCAGGTGGTGGAAGAGAGTTAAAATTCAGGGGTCTTTGGGGTCTGAGCTTCGAAAATCAAGCACAATGAAATGTGAGAAGTTACAAAACAAATGTTAAAACTTACAGTTAGAATTGTATCTAAAATATTTGTTCCAAATATCCAAAACTTCCAGGAAAAACTTTGATGCTGTCTGTGGCACTTCAGCGTCTTTCATTTCCCTAGTTGGCGCTGTTTCTTACCCCTCCTGTTGTTTAGCCGGCCTTGACGCCCACCGTGGCCTCTGCTGCCCCTAATGGTGCTTCCCTTCCTTCCTTCTAACCTCACTGCTTTCCAAAGAGATGCACAACCAGGGCTGGAGGCCACCTCTCCATCTTTGTTGTTGTGGGTGACTATACAGGTGGGATTTAATCACAGTGGGAGGAGTGGTGGGCTGGTATTACTAGGCAGAACCTTCCAGCTGTCCTTTACTGTACCTCAGCAAGTATCCTTTTACTGTGTCTGGACCAAGCTAAAACCGGCTCAGAGACAAAGCTTGCCTCTCCAGGCCTGGGGTTGCGGGCTGGGCTTGAGAACTCTGTCTTGGTGCTCTTGACCTTCATCCCCCTTTCCTTGAATGGATCTATCCCTGGAGTGAGGGCATGTATTTTGTACCAGAGCGCCATATTACTACAAAGCAGGAATGGGTCTGACTTTTGCCCTGTTTTATGTTTATGAGGGTGTTATATTACAAGAGTGGAGGAAGAGGAAGGAAGCTTGGGGCTCCTACTGCTGGAGTGGGATTGTTGGAAAAGGGTCTCGGGTCTGGATCCTGAGAATGGGCAAGAGTTGGGGAGGAGCTAAGCTCCCAGACACCCCACTGATGAACATGGTGTAAAGGGAAAATAGTATTAATGACTTTTCCGTGACTTTTTAAAAAAAAAATTGAAGTACAGCTGATTTACAATGCTGTATTAGTTTCTGGTGTGCAGCATAGTGATTCAGTTTTTTATTTATGTATTCTTTTCCATTACAGGTTATTACAAGATACTGAATGTAGTTCCCTGTGCTATGCAGGAGGACCTTGTTGTTTATTTTATATATAGTAGTTTGTATCTGCTAATCCCAAACTCCTAATTCTTCCTCCCCCTTTTCCCTTTGGTAACCACAAGTTTGTTTTCTATTGAGTCTGTTTCTGTTTTTATAACTGCATTTGTATCACATTTTAGATACCACATATAAATGATACCATAGGATATTTGTTCTTTTCTATCTGACTTACTTAAGTATGATAATCCCTAGGTCCATCCATGTTGCTGCAAATGGTATTATTTCATTCTTTTTATGGCTGAGTAGTATTCCACTGTACATATATACCACAACTTCCTTTTCCATTCATCTGTCAATGGACATTTAGGTTGCTTCCACGTCTTGACTATTGTAAATAGTGCTGCTATGAACATTGAAGTGCAGGTAACTTTCCCAATTAAGGTTTTCCACAGATATATGCCCAGGAGCTGGATCATATGGTAACTCCATTTTCAGTTTTTAAAGGAATCTTTATACTGTTTTCCAAAGTGGCTGCACCGACTTTTATACAAAAATATGCCCAGGGGTTTATCTGTGGCGGTGCCTCTGGGGTCCTGCGCTTGACTCGACGAAGCGTAGCCACCCATGGCGGCCGCTGAGCGTTGACAATGCTTGGGCTTCACCGAGCCCACGTCAGGGCCCCGCGACCACCTCCAATTAAGCGGGGGGTCCTTCCACCACCGCGCTGAGCCTGGATTTCAACTCGAGGAATTGGGAGGAGGGGGCTTTGGGCAGGAACCGAGCCGAGTTCGGGGAGGCGACAGGACCGGTTTCCAATCCTTAAAGGCCTCCCAAAGGACCGGGGGATGTAGGGCTCACTGAGTGGGGTAGCTTGACACCCCTCCGTTCAGCTCGTGGCGGTGCGCGTGGTGTGGGCGTGGCGGCGCGGGGCGGGGCGGGGCTTGGGCGGGGCTTGCGGCGGGGCTTAGCCCGGGGCTGACGGCAGAGCTCCCCGGGCTGCGACTGTCGTTGTCCCGGCGCTCCTGCTCTGGCTCTCTCCGCTCCTGGCGCGCCGACCATGACGCGCTCACTGTTCAAGGCGAACTTTTGGGTGAGTTGGCAGTGCGGGCGGCCCACCGCCGGGCTCGGGAGCTGGGGCCCGAGGGGAGCCGTGGGCCCCTGTCCCGTGCTCGGGGACAGAACCCGGGCAGTTCTGTCTGCGCCGCGCTCAGTCCCCTGTGCGCCCGCGGGTCGTCGGGGTCCGGACCCCGGGCTCCTCTCCAGCGGCCCCGGACACCGCGGACGGGTGTAGCGGAAGCCACCTTAGAGTCGGGACATTTCCCCCTCACCTCACACTTGGGGAAACCGAGACCCAAAGGGAGGAGCCACCCGTCCGGGGAGAGTCGCCAGTGGCCCCGGAGGCTGCGCCCTGAGCGGATTTGTGGGGACATGTGGTGGAGAACCCGGGGCCAACGTCATCGGGCTGATGGGCTTTCCAGGTCCGCAGAAACGTGCCGCCTGTCTGACCCGGTTAGCGCCCGACTTCCTCCCGCAGACCCTGGAGGGATTCTCTAGCAGGAGCTCTGCCCTGTCCCGGAGCCCCGTCTCCTGAGCCTCTCCCAGCCTTTGCCCCCGCCCGGAAGGCCAGTGCGTGTGTGAGACCCTGCGAGCTGGTGGGGGCATCCGAGCCCGAGAACCGGCCCAGCCCGGAGGCAGCAGGTCTGCCTGCCCCTCTCTATCCAGCCCTCTCCTCGCCACCCGCATCCTCTTACTCCCCAGGTTCTCAACGATCTGTACTTTGTCATTCCGGGGAACCGCCCTCATCCCTTTAGGGCAGCAGCAGGAAGTCAGCAACGCCTCCAGGCTGACCTCTCACTGCCAAGCGGCTCCAGCTCCTTACTTGGAATCCCGCTTGCACCTCACTTAGCTTCATAGCTGCCCAGCAAGTTCCTATCCCCCACTGAGGGCTGCTGGGTGGAGAAAGCTGGCTATGTGGCTTCGGGGACCCAATTTAGACTCTGCCGTGTGAGGCCCCCTTTCCTGGAGTTTTCCAGGGTGCAGGGCTATGGCAGCTCCGGAGAGAAGGTGAGCATCCTTACAGCCGGGCCCTCACGGAGGCCTGGGCATTCTTCAGGTGGAATATAAGACTTCTGGGTCCCATGACAGGCATTGTGGGAAAAAGCAGGGCAGAGACGCCTTTCTTCCCCTCCAAGTGTGACTCTCAGTTTTCAGATCTCTGCCCAGTGTTTTCTGTTTAGGGAACCCTTTCCTGATTGTGTCCAATAGCACATGCTCTGTTTCTTCATAGCATTTGTCAGTTTTTGGTTTTGAGTTTGAGGGCCTCCAAGCATGTGAGCACCTTGTGGACAGGTCCTGTACTGGCTTTCAATGCCACTGCCCCTCGCACAGGCTGAAAGCACAGTGGGTTCTCAGCAAATAGTTGTTGAATAAGTTTACTAGATCTGTAAGGCCAACAAGGCTTGAGATGGGGTGAGAGCTGTAGCCTTCATCCTTAGAGGCTCCCAGGCCACACTAAAGCAGCCCCCCAGCTGTCCCCAACGCAGACTCGTAGATGTGGCTAGGGGAGGGGGCAGACAGGAGGTCTGGGTTGGGAGTTAGAGGTTGGGTGAAGGTCCAAGGGAGAGAACTTTCTGGATTTATACTTTATTTTCCTCTGAGCTTATACTTTCAGAAGATATGAAATCCTGAGAGATAGTTTGCAGAGGTATCTTTCATCTCTAATTTCCTGTAATACTTTGTCAAATAATATAAAGCTAACAATAATAGCTAAGTTTCCTGTGTATAGAATCTGTGGCAAGCACGGTTCTAAACACATACCATTTAAGTCTCACATCTGCCCTATGGAGTATCTTATCAACTATCCCATTTTACAGATGAGGAAACTGAGTGGCAGAGAGGTTAAGCAATATTCCCAAGGCAGTAGAGCTATCAGATAGTGGAGCAGGACTCTGCATGGACCAAACGCTCAGTGAGTGCTTTCGACAGGGCTGGGGCTCAGCAAGAGCATCCCTTTGGCGCTGTGGGAGGTAGATAGATGGTGGACCACCATTTGCCTCTTCGTGTGAATATCTTTCTCCTTCAGCTCTAACCATGAGCTATTGTGGAGGGGAGGAGGGGTTGCACTGGGTACCACATCCACTGAGCCCCCAGCACTGAGATGGTACTTGGCATATGGATGCTCAGAAATTGGGCAGATGGGACAGTCAGCTTAGATTTGGGAGAAAAGGGGCAGAAGGGAAACCACTGGAGACCTCAGGGCTGCCTGCAAGGCTCTCCCGCTCTCAGAGGTAGGGGTGGGTCAAGGCTGTTGTTAGCACCGAGGGGATGGAAATAACTTTCCTGCTTCAAGGACAAGAAGGTTGTGATTAAGGTAGAAAACTTTGGAAACACAAGTGGGCATCAGCTGATTGAATTAAATAAATATTTTAAATACCTTCTCTGTATGAGGAGCTCTAATGAAGGTGGCATTTGCAAGGGTAGGATCACCCCCTTGGCTTGAAGGTGGCTTCCTCAGGAGGAAGCCGGCAGGGAGGGCAGGCTTTGGCCTTGAATACCTGTTCTCAGGGATGCAGAGAAGGAAGGGGAGGGAGATGGGAGAGTCTGGCAGGGGCCAAGAAAACAGGGGTAGAAAGGGTCTGTTCCAGGGTGGAAATCATAGGGAAGGGACAGGAGGAGACAGACAGGAGGAAGGGCAGAGGGTGGAAGAGGATAAAGCCACAGGACAAGGTCACTAATTGGAGCGGAGTCATAGGGGAGAGGATAGGAGGGCTCGGAGGATGCTCTGTGTAAGGTCAGCTGGAGAGTGAGGTGCGGGCCCCAGAAATAAGGAAGTCAGAATGAGGAGCTAGTTTGTGAGGAAAGAAGGAGGAGGAGGAGGCAGAAGTGATATTAACAATATTTAACCACAGGGGTAGCACTGGCGAGGACCAAGGCTGCACCACCCTGAACCACCCTCCCTGGCAATCACCGCCCCCAGGACCATGCCAGGGTTGCTGGATATGGGGAGGGCTTGGGGCGGGAACAGGCTGCCAGGCAGCAGGGACTGGGAGTATTTTAATATTTTAACAACCAATGCGAACATGTCAATGAGTGTGCTCTGATGTCTGGTGGTCAACATTCTGGATTTGAGAGGCTGGTGGAGATGGCCCTGGCACCTTGGAAAGGGTGTCCAGGCAAGAGAGTGCATAGAACAGCATAATGAACAGAAGGGTCATCAGTCACCAGCAGAGGCTCTGAGGTCATCAGGCCAAGTTTGGATCCTAGGTCTGTCCCTTATAGCTGGGTGACCTTGGGCAGGTGACTTCAGCTCCCCAAGACTAAGGTTTTCCATGTATAAAAATGAGGCTAATAACAGTGTCTACTTATAGGGCTGCTGTGAGGATTCAATCAGAGTTCAGTATGTGCCTGGCACATAGCGAGCACTTGTGATTGTCAGCTTATATCAGCACAGAGCGACAGTTTAAAGAAATGGGTGATGGTCACTCCAGAAGAAAGAATCAACAGATAAGAGGTCCCCAGAGAAGCTCTCTTGGTGAATACCTGTGTTTAGACACAGGGAGGGAGGGAACAGATAAAGAGAGGCAGAGGTGTAGGGATTCAGTCCTCGCAGGAGCCATCACAGATCCAGGAGAGGAAGGTTCCATGGAAGCCAAGAGGCCCATCGGAAATTAGGTACACGTTGCAGAAAAAGTACGAGTCAGCACATACTTTATACATAATCGTAGACAAATGCCTAGCGGAAAACTTGTTTAAAGGAAGCTTTCAGTGGATCTGCTTGAAAAGCGAATACTCAATGTTCTTCAAGATTGGAATGGTCCCAGCTGAGTTTGCCTGACACAAACATGCCTGTCCTATTTCTCACCCAGTGGTCCTAGGTGTGCCTTTGTGACCGTGTGGTTAAGCGGGTAGTTTCTCTTGGTTAATGTTGGTGGTACCTTGTCAGAACAAGAGAGTGACCATGGATGTGGTTTCCAGAGTTCCAGGGAAATAGGCCACAGTAGAGGGAAAATCCCAGCCTTTGGCCCGTGATCACTGGGGACAGGTGCAGTGGAACCTGCTTCGGAAGAGGAAGGTGGCCTCCCACCCCAGGAAATCCCCACATTCCTCACTCTGGTGTGAGACCCAGCCTGTACCTGTCTGTCCTCTAGATTCTTACTTTGACCAGGCCTGCCTGATTCTCACCGCTCTTGGCCCAGGCCAGCACGGTCCCCGTCCTGCACTGCCCTCCCCGACCCCTGCACCCACAGTGGGCGTGGCCTCTCCCTGCGCTGCCTGGGGAATGGCCCCGGAAGGCTTGGGCCGTCTGAACTTGCTCATTACCTCTGGCCACCTACGGCTGTCCCTCTGCTCCAGATCTCTGACCACCTTGGAATCTGGTCATCCTGGGTCTTAGTAGAACTTGAGCTGGTGCTGCATCTGGCTTTGCTCTGTGACTTTTCTCTGTACACTGTGGGACGCTGCCTTTTTTTCTTAAATAAACAAGGAAGAAAACAGGTTATCCCACAGACCCTTCATGCTCACTCCATGTGCTATTTTATACAGTGTACAGGCTGTTGCTTTTCTTTTTAAATACTCCCCCTCAGAAACCAGAGCTTAGAAACACACCAGGAGGGCTGTTTTGTATAGTCCTGCCTGGTGGCAAACGCAAGGTAAAGTCGCTGATCATCACCCTGTCCAGTTCACTCTTCCGAGAGCAGCCAGTAGGCTCTGTCTTTAAATAATGATAAAAAATTCCTTTTTCTTGTTTTAGCTTCTGAAAATTTTAATAAGAGGCATAGGACCCATCTTTTAGGGAAAATGAGAAATTCTTATTGAAATATATAAAACAAAACCTGAACAAGTGGAAAGGAAATGAAAGTTTGTTAACAAACTGAAAAAAATCAAGATAATGCAAGCATATTCTTTAAGAATCTCAATGTTTCCAAAAGGCTCATTAATGAAAAACAATAGTCACTAGTTAGATTGTCACAACATGTAAAGTTTATTTCAAAGCTAAATAGTATATTATGATTAGATCTCCATTCATTTTTTTTCTGGACTTTCTAATTCCTTTTTTTTTTTTTTGGTGAGGAAGAATTCTTCACCTTTATC